ATCATCATCATCATCATCATCATCATTGAGTTTTCACCAATGCTTTGTTGGCTTGTAGGATCTAACAAGTACTAATGTCCTTGAAGTGTGTTATGCCTTAACTGCCATCAACAAGCTGATCAATGCAGAAATGATTCCTGCCATTTTAAAATATGTGCTTGACCTTACAAACAACAAACGGTAAGGTTTTTTTTCAATACTGGTCATGGATGAACTTGTCATAGTCTGTAAATATGTCTGTACACTCACAGTGAAAAGTGGAAAATTTGCTACCACAAGTGCTTCCACAAGCACTTAAAATAAATGCAGAACTTGTTTGCCCATAGTTAAAGTACCCGGGGGGAAATGAGAGAGGGGGGGGTACTCCTCTATATTCACTATATAGATTTGAACAGGGACTGGAACAGGGTATATAAAATCGCTCTTGTTCTCTGGAACAGGGTATATGAAATCATGCTTTCGCTCTGGAACAGGGTGTCTATTTTTGCAAGTACCAGAAAAGGGTTTTTTTATATACAAATTTCATGGATTTTACTCTCGAACAGGGTCAGGGTTCAAAGGGTTCAGCAGCACATCCCTACCCTAAACAGGCAAGTGTACCCCAACCCCTCCCCCCAAGAGCCTCTAAGTGATGTTTTTTTAAATAGGGACATCATTCGTAAGAAGGCTATCATGGCCCTACACACACTGTACCAAAAGAGTCCCTCGATGATCCCTGATGTCCTAGATATTGCCACAAATGGCCTGAAGGATAAGGACCTCAGTGTATCATCAGCATCTTTGATCCTACTCTATGATCTTGTTGTGGTGAGTAACATACCCCAAGCTATCCCATGATGCATCGTATTAAGTTTGCTGTTGGAGGCTTCTCAAGCTATCCCAAGAAGCCATGAGTGAATTCATTTTATTCATGCTCATTATTGAATTATCAAATTAACATTTGAATCTGTTCTAATCTGATTTACATGAGGAAGAATTTAGTTTTCCAGGGGGAAAGACTATTGTTGCACCTACTTTCATCGCTCCCATTATGTAATGCAGGGCTTAAGATCAAGGCCAATCAGTTGCTGGTCATAATCACATACTTTTTCTTCCCCACCAGCCAGCCCATGGAGGGTCAGAAAAAAACCTCTGCTCGCATGGTACAGGCTGAAGTTACCAGTCGTTTCGCACAATTGCCTTTTCATTACCCAGGCTGAAGTAGTTTAAGTTTAGTCATACCTCGTTTTCTGGCTCAACATTACTGGTCAAAATGACTGGCAAGGCAAAGATTTGACTGGACAAGACCCAGTCAAGGGTGGATCCAGGGGGGGGGGGGACAAAGTGGAACTGAAGCCCCCTTCAGCAGAAAAAACAAACAAAAAAAACTGAAGAATTCGATGATTTTTTAAATTGTTTTCCGTTGTGTTGACAGAAGAAACTCAATTAGCCCCCCCTAAAATTTTTGCAGGGTCCGCCCTTGCCAGTTCTGGCTGGACATTGTCTGATGTCCTGCTGTCATTTTAAGCCCTGGTGATGGTGCAAAGCCTCTATTCAACATATTCCTTATAGAGCACCCAACATTATTTTTGTTTCTGTTGCTTCAAGGTTGATCCAGCATCCCACAAGCATCTCATCCCAGTGTTAGTATCTCTACAACAGAAAATAATCAGTGGCAAATTGCAGCAGGACTTTGACTATCATCGAGTACCAGCACCTTGGATACAGATCAAATTACTTCGGATTCTATCACTGCTAGGGGCATATGATTTAAAGTAGGTATCGAATGAAACTGTAGTTGGCTGTTTTTTATGTCTTTTTCAAACTTTCACGCTGCAGTCAAATTCATATGGCGTTGTGTATTTCCAGAAAATATCCATACCCCCACCAGCGAGGGAATTTATAAAAGGACCCCCCTACCCCAAGGAATTTCCAATTTTCTTCCATACAAACTTGGAAATTTTGTTCTTTCTCTGACCCCTCTCCCCTCCAGAATTCCCAATTTACTCAGTGGGTGGGGTATGGATATTTTCTGGAACTACGCATTTCAAAATATTAAATTGCTTGTTGAATAACTTCCAAGTTCCAATATGATCATGTAACGAGGGCCTAAGGTTTGTTAGCCACTGCATGGCTGCTAAGTGTTACCCTTGTAAAACAAGGATGACTTATTTTAATTATTTAATTACAGTGTATATTTATTATTTATGTTTTGTATGTGTTTGAGAATATATATGAAATATTTATGTTTTATTGCTTTTTTCCAGAGCAAGTAAAAATATCTATGAGGTTCTGGGCAAGACTTTATCATATCTAAATACAAGCAGTTTGATAGCATACGGTAAGGTTCTTGGTTCATTAATGAGTACCCAAATGAGGATAGACTTTTTCTAAGATAGCAAACATGGTACAGCCTTGTCTGTCTTGAATACGAACTAATCTTATCTGGGAGAGCGTACGTATCTAGCAGTTGATGCAATTGCAATTTAACCTACAATAGATTTTCTGAATACATCACAATAACTGAGTACTATGTAGGTTGTCCCAATATTATATGGTGTTGTTTGTACCCAAGCTAGACCACAATGCATCCACTTTAAATGGTGGTTGTGTCTATCTGAGGGACCTAAAGAAACCCTGGCAGTGACCACCCTCAGTGCCTACACACCATGATAACCACCTCATGAATATAAGCCTTTGAGTGCATGCAGCAAAAGGATACTACATAAATCATGAATCATTATCATTATTAAGGTATTCATTTGTATTTGTTTAGCTGTGGCGTATGAGTGTGCTCGTACTATTGCTACAATCTACCCAGATGAGAGGCTGGTCAAACAAGCTGCCAAGGTCGTTGGGCTTTTCTTGGTTGCCAAGAGCAACAATATTAAATATCTAGGTAAGTGTGTTATTGATGAATGAATTCATTGCATTGTGGTTAGGGATGAAGAACTAACAGACATTTTATTGTGGAAATGAATTAATTAATTGATTAACAGATTAATATGCATTGAGAAATAATCATCATCATGCATCATCATCATGTATCATCATCATGTATCATCATCATGTATCATCATCATGTATCATCATCATGTATCAT